AAAGAGTGTCTTTAGGATTATTCAGCCTTCCTTTCATTAAAATCCTCTCTGGGCCCTGGTCGCCAGGAGATAAGATCTTTTCTGTTAGTGTCTGTCAGAGTTGGTAAAGAGCACCAGTGTTTGGTAGATAACATAAAAGCTGTAAAATTTTAGTTGGGGGACATCTATCTTGTATATGTCAGGCAGTGTTTGTGTTTCTGTTTATGGCTTTTTGGTAGTCCAAAAAAGAAGTAACGTCTTTTCAGATCGTTGTGGCTAGGCAGAACGTATTTAGTCAGCCTCATGAGGCTACCGGTATCTTCTGCTCTGGCTAAACCTGGTGCATGTTTCTTTGCTGCGTTGAAAACATGGCTGTAACGAAAACGTAAGGCTGTTGCCTTGGCCACTTTGTATGGTTCCTTGTAGAGTTCCTCCTCCCTGTAAGTTAAGTCAAATTATTCCACCTGGTTGACTCTTCTTGAGCTAGGCTCCGGCTAGACTTCACCTTAAGGGGAAGCGATCACTTTGCGAAACCACAATCTTGTTAGTCATACCCCTGCTGGGCTAGATAGCGGCTAGAGAAACCCCACCTTGATTCAAGCCAAAGCACTTCATGGATGGACTGGGTCTCAACTGGAGACAGCACTTGACTGGTATTTTGAATAATACAGTCTAGACTTTCAGTGCTTGGTGTTTTTTATAAATCTGCTTTTCCTGTCAAGTGGCTGCCTAGGAATCTGAGCTTTCCTTTAAAAATAGTTTTTTAGCTCTCTTGACTGGGAAGAAAACTGTGAAACCATGAGAAGGTTTAACTCTTCCTTCCTCAGCTGTGGCTGAGGGCTTCGTAAGACTGCCTTAATGGGCAAGGGATGGCTGGAGCGACCTGTGCTGTGACCATGTGTCTGAAACATCTTCAGTACAGACAGAGGGACAGGAGATGGCAACACGTCCTTTACGTCACCTTGTAGAGTCATTGACCTCGCAGAGTCACCAGCTGCTGATAAAGACAACCTGACAATGCTTTTTGCACCAAAAAATTATTCTGGGTGCTTAATGTATGCATGTGCTGAAAGATATGCAAAGAAGGTACTTTCTGGAGGGGGGGACATTCCCCAATTAAATCAAAACGTGCATTTAGAAATATGGAAACATTCATACCACCTATCATACCAGTGATTGCAGGAATATGGTGATCTCTGAATCTCACCGGATTGCAGAGGGCTGCTCTTGCAGGCCACCACACCTTTGGGCTCCCCTTTGGCAGGTGGTGACATGCATCTTCCTGTTTTTCTTTACATTTTTGTGCACCTCTTTACTGTCTGCTAGCTTAGTACTCATTAAAGGGACACTGCAGAGGCATAAAAAGTACCAAGCAAGAAGGTTTTGGAAAACTCTTGTCCGAAGCACATTTGGTAAGATGTGCTGTCGTTGTATACCTTTTCCTCTCCCTTCTCGTTGCTGTGGCCTCAGGCTCTTGACCTCTCTGTCGGTTCCTTTTCCCAAACTGTATGATATTTTTCCACTGTATAACTTTTCCATCTAATATTAATGAAGAGTAGGGCAGCTTTATTTCTGTCCATGCCCAGCACCTGCAAATGAATTTGCAGTCCTGTCACTGTGAGGTAGCTGCTGTTACAGCATAAGGACATAGGGGGACAGCCACCACTATGAAAACTAATTCTCCATATTTGAAGTGAACTGTTTGGATGATGAGAAAGAACATGAGAATATAGAGAGATGCAGAGATTGAGCATTCCCTGGTTTCACCCCCTGAACACAAAGGCTCTCATTCACTGCAAATGGCAAGTATCTTGCGGGCACGACAGGCTGCAGAACTGCTGTCCAGCCAAAAGACAAGGTCTTTGCGTGAAATTAGTGCCTGGCTGCTCCTTTTGCATGCAGAAATCCCTCATTTGTGTGCAGAAATGTTGCTTGCTTGTGTAACTGTTTGCTCATGCAAAATTTACCTCTTGAAGTTTGTCCTGAAGAGACCTGCTGAAGAGTTAGAAACCTCACATCGCCATTACAGTGGCACGTTGCGGGAAACCTGGCACACAGTCCAGACCAAAACAAAAAGGGAATCAGAGGAAACACAGCTCTACTCTGAAACATGTTGATATTTCATATTCTAGTACCCATTTAGCAAACAAACCATGGAAGAGACAGAAGCTGTGAGACATTTGATACAAAGAGTGTAAAATAAGGCTCAGAGGGGAAGACAGAAGGAAAAGGGAGAATGAAGGTCTAGTTTGACTAATTGTGTTCAATCTTCCAGTCAACAAAATACCCTTCAGGCATAGGCATGCTACTTCAGAACTTCCCCGTCTCTCACCCACAACATCAGACTGAAAGAGTTTGAGTCCCTGGCTGATATAATAACTTTCTGCACTCCCCAGCTATGTACTTATCCACTTTAAAATAACTTGGTGGGTGACAAGTTATTTTCTTAACCTCCCCATTTTCAGCTTGCTGCTAAATCAGTTTTTTCATTTTCTACACATGGGCTGCTTATCCCCTGTGCTGAATGCAAGTAACTCCATAACTTAGGACTTGTTGAACAAGTATATTTAAGTTAGTACAACTCATGGAGAAGTAACATAATATGCAGTGAAAATAAACAGGGCACCACATAAAACTGTGTTATCTTCCATGTCAGCAATATTTAAGAAGGAAATTATTTGGAAAGAAAATGTTAGTATGTATTAGGTAGCATAACGGGTGACTAAAGAAGGGTCAAATAGCCATTTTAAAAACTTGGAAATACTATACATTTCCAAGAGAAACAGAGCTCTAAATAACGAACCACCATGTTGATTGGCCCCACGGCAGCAGGAACTTAGGCACTGCAGGGTGACCACTCTTGTGCGTAGAGTTAAGGGTGTGATTGATAACCTCCTGAACTGGGACAGTGATTTCTGTCAGTGGAGGAGGCAGAGTGCTTGCTGGCAGGAAGGATAGATTTTACTGTCCTCCTTGTAGAATTAAAACTTGGAGAAAAGCTGATGCAAAACCGTGACATCTGGGTGATTGGCACTTCAGCTCAGATGGCACATGACCTTCTCAAGAGCAGCTGCTCCTCTCAGCGGGGATCCAGGTGGGCTGGGGTGTGTGTGTGTGTCTGTGTGTCAAATGCCACCCAGCACAGTCAGAAGCAAATCCAGAGGAGCCCAGACCTTGTGTCAGCCCCCGGGATGGGTGGTTCTCCAGCGAGAGATTGTCCTGGGCACCACTGCTGACCAAGGAGGTACCTCTCTGCCTGCAAACAGCTGCAGGGCTTCCGTGGGAAAACACTGAACCCATAGCCCTCTGCGCAGGACATGTTCATGTGGAACATGAAATGTCTGTTAAGGAGAAGGAAGAGAAATACTGATGAACAGTGAGAAATACTGATAAATAGTTTGCAAAGGAAAAGTGGAGTAGGTGTTAGAAAACATAAGACTCATATGCATGGAACTCATGTTTAAATGTGGTATTTTGGTAGTGTTTATGGATGTTATGCTGCTTGTCCCTTATAATGAATTTTTCTTTGTTTCAGGTAGGAATGAATTGATAGCCAGATACATCAAACTTAGAACAGGGAAGACACGGACCAGGAAGCAGGTAAAATAACCCAGTGGGGAAGTATGCATGTCAGTGAATGACAAAACATGGCATTTTTGGCTGCAGTGGCTGTCTGTGCTTCAGCTCTGATGAGATGACGTATTGACTTCACTGTTCAGATTAAATACGTGCTGTTTAGAAAATACTTAAAACTCCATTTTTTTTATGTTGTGCATCATTTCAGTAGCGGCTTGAGGATGCATTTTTTATTAACCTATGTGTACATGAAGCTATTATCCCTGTATTTGGGAAAAAAAATTTCAAAAAGTTGAAGCAGAAGCATAAAGCATTGTGCCTTATTTCTCTATAAGGACAATTACAGAATACAGCAATTATTTTGCGATGGTGAATAATGGAACTTCTAAAAGTCCAGCAAATTCGCCTATGTAATAGAGGTTATGATCCTTGCATATGAGAGGTAAATAAATAAAAACTATCTAACAGGACTGATCCTAATGCTCTCGGCTCATGGGCAGTACTTGCTACAGCATGAAAAAATAATTAAAAAAAATCGCCTAAGAGCCTTCAGGCTCCTGGTCTGTGACCACAGTAAGATTTCATTCATCAAAGAGTCAGAATAAACCTCTAACCAGTCTCAAGACTTTTTCAGATGATTATCACATAACCATTAACTTATCTCATATGACTAAATCTTTTAATTTGTAATATCCACGGTGATCAGCAGCCTCACAGAAGGCACACGCTCTGCATAGTTTATGCAGTGGTTACTAAACCCTTGCGCTATTTCAAAATGCTTCGCAAATTGCAGAGTCCCCTCACTTTCTCTAACATTAAGTATGAGATTGTTCTTCTCCCCACCCACGCGCGTGACAAAGGGGAAGGCAGAGGCTCGTACACTTGCATGCTACGTGTGTTTTTTAATGCAGGGAAAGGTGACGCTGAGTCAGCGCACACAAAGATGGCCTGCTGCCAGCGCTTGGATTTAAAGCACTTTGGACTGGGTGATATTTTGCCCTGGGTCGTGTCCTTTGCCAGTTAGGAAGGAAATGTATGTACAAGGGATGAAAAAAGACATGAGAAAGGAGAGAAACCGCAGCACGTGGAGAAGGAACAAACAAAAGATTGGCAAAGAAATCTGAAACAAACTCCCAAGTTATTCCCTGCTATGCCCATGCTAGCTCCAGTAGTTGGGCGTTATGCTGGGATCTTAAAATCGCATCAGGAGCCAAAATGCAGGCCTTGGGGCTAGATCCTTGGCCAGTGTGGGCTGGTAGAGCTGTGGTGAAACCAAGAGGGCTGTGATGGCCTACATATGGTGATGTTCTGCCTCCATACTTTTACATCCCTCTATAGTGATTCATAAATCACTTTAGACTGAGTGTTTAGAAAAGTTTGATTGTTGCTACTTTTGAGTTTCAGCTGAGCAATTAAACGTTACGATTGTGCTTCTTGTATAACCTTTAACACCACTAATATCCCACTGACAGCAAAACAAACGAACATGTGTGAAAACTTGGTCTACGTGTTTGACTACAAAATTGCTTAGTAAGCAATAGCATAACTCTGAATTACTGCAAACCGGTTCCTGAGCTGCTTCCTGAAGAAGTCTCTGAAGGTGGCCTTCAGGGGCTGTTCTCATTTATGCATTACTGTTTGCGTCCCTACTAAAAATACAGGCTTTTTGGTACTATTGTCATGAAATACTCTTGTAGAGGGAGGAAATCAAACTTTGTTTCTCCTTTTCTTTTGCTTTGTTCTTTCCCAGATGGGAATTGTAACTAACTTAGGAAAAATGTACAACAGTTGATATAGTATGCCCTGGGTCAAATAAGAATAAGAGATTTCTCTTTAGCGGTTTTTGCCATCACTACAGGTTTTAAACCTTCACACGGAGGGCTGTAGGATGCTGAGCACTACCTTGCAATGCTGGACAGCATCATTAAACCCTCATCATCGATAGCATGGATTTCAGTACTTGCCTGAGTAAACAGGAGTGTGAATCTGGGCCCAGACTCTTCACTGCACAAGCAACAACTCCTGACCAGTAACTGGTCTAGTGCAGGACTGGGTTTACACAAATTTCTTACCAAAATGTAATGACAATGGGCCAAACCTGGACATCACTCAAGCTGATGTCAAGTTACTGGTCCCCACTTACACGAGTGTTTTGTGGGCAGACTTGATGCTGAGATTATCAAGGAAGCCAGCACAGGTTCAGGGACCTATGTTGTGCCAGTATTTTATCATTTGTTCCAGAATTTAGAGCATTTCAGTGGGGTCAATACGCAGCCTGAGGCTCCTCATTGGAGCTGCAGAACACAAGAAATAATGGATAAAACTTCTCGGTGCCAAGTTATGTCTCGAGCCTAGTGGCAAATGGTCAGAGTGGGCATCTGCATCCCTGGCAGATGGGGTAGAAATCCTGTCGGCTCGCAGCGCAAGAGCCCAGGGCCTGGCCACGGATGGGATCAGTACCAAAGCACGTGGGCTGCGTCCAACTGCGTCTTCTATCTTGTAGCTGAATGCACAACCTGGTGGGTTACACTTCTTTTTTTTTCTTTTTTTTCCTTAATCAAGTCACTGCAGTGATGACCTGTATTGTTAAGTCTCAGTGCTAAGAGCTTGATATCTGGCTGGGAATGTGGTATCTTTAACAGCAGAGCTTACTGAAGATGCAAATAACTTCCTCCCCTCAGAAAAGTTATTTTTTTTAAAAGAAAAAAATAGAGATTTTAAATTTGATTTGCTTTTTGTTTTTCTTTTGTTTGTTGTTTTTTTTTTCCCTATAAACCTGAACAATGTAGGTGTCTAGTCACATACAGGTCTTAGCAAGAAAGAAAGTTCGAGAAATTCAAGCCGCCATTAAGGTACGTTTGGCTTGCCCAGTTGTAGGGGGCTTTTCATCTCCATGGTTACAGGCTTTTCCTTTGTTTCCTCCCTTCCCCTACCCTGCAGGTGTCTAGTCACATTCAGGTTCTTGCCAGAAGGAAATCTCGTGATTTTCATTCCAAGCTGAAGGTATGCGCTTTTCTGCTTTTGGGCTTGTGGTTGCTATGCCTGTCCCTTTCTCCTCCCCGCGGTGATGGGCGAGCGCCTGGTGCTGCCGTGCCTGTAACCTGGTTTTCCTGCATGTGGTAGCTGTCTGCGTCTCTTTGTGTTTAATCTTCGGTTTCTGCACTAGCATCCACATTAAAAATGTTGTTTTAACACTGTCCAAATGCAAAGTGAACTACTCTTTGTAACAGCTCAGCACCTAAACCTGATTTTTAACCCGTTAGTCTATTTTTATTTTTTTTTTAAACAGTTGAGTGCTAGGCGTGTATTTAAATACACAGGGTTTTTATGCAGTTGTGTAGACGCTTTTTCTTTTTTGCTTTTTCCAGAGGGGTAATTGGGGTAATTGTTTTCCATTCCCAAATGTTTTTTGTCTGTGCTTTTGAAATGCTATCAAGAATACTTAAAATAAATAGTTTGTTCCAAGTGCCAGAGAGCACAGCTTATCAAGATTGCTCTAACTATAAGGTGTTTCTAGAGTATAATCTAGTATCACCTCAAGTTATGTACTATTTACAAGATTCCCTGAAATTTTATTTTTTAAAGTAAAGTATTTACATTTAATCTTTGGAGAGCTTCATTCAGAGTCCTGTTCAGGGAATATTAAGTATGTTTGCTTAATCTGACGTGATGAATTGTACATGTCCCCGTTTTCCCTGGTTTCCATAAAATATATTCTAAGGCTAAAAAGAAACTCTTGGAAATGCTTAGTAGGGGTTTCTTGGATTGCTTGTATTATCAAGTTTTCCAGCGGAGATCTTGGGACTCTTTTTGTTCTGTTTTCACATTACTTAAAAGTGGAAGAGGAGGTTTTGCAGTTTTTGCTGTTGATTTTTTTCTTTTTAATAAAGAGCGAAGGAACTTGTAAATCTTTTACTTCCCTCCTTTTTTCTTTTTGTTGATTGTTTTTTTTTCCCCTGGATGAGAACAAATCACGTTTTTGTTCTAGCTGAGAAGCAAAATGTTTCAGAAAGTAATTTCACAATACTAAGCGGTGAGCACTGCGGATGCTTACCACGATCCTGGAACTGCAGCGTATAAATAACAGCCTGGCTTTGTAACAGGCCTCCCTGACAGAAGCACTGGGTTTTTCGTCCGCAGTGGGCAGCATGCTGGCAAGCTTGTATGGCTGTTGGTGGCTGGCTTTTTAGCTGCACTGGCTGAGCAGTTGGGGTTCGTAAAGAACAACTAAGACAGCTTAAACATACTGCTTTTTAACCGAGGGTGCAATAATACAGAGATATGTAGCATTTTAAGCTTAAATTGTCAATCCTTGATGCCTAAAATTAAGCATGTGAGTAGGTGCCCTTACTTTCAGAGGTGCTCAGCACCAATAGCTCTCAGGGAGTTTTATAGGACTGGTGAGCACTCAGGGCTACAAAAATCAGGAAGCCCGCTTAGATACCAAAATACAGGCCTAGGAGCCTAACAAAAATATTGGATTTACTGTGCTAAAATACTTCCCTTTCTGAATGCCCAAAATAGCATAAAATATGAAGACACTTATAAAGCAATAAATATTTTTGAGTGCTGCACCTGCTGTCTGATTTTTATTGAAGCTTTCCAAAGAAGAAAGAAACTAGTTAAACCCTAGTAATATTTGAGACCTCTAGCCTAGATGCCATTTGCAGTGAATAGAGATCCAGAGGGATTTTTCATTTTAAGGAGTCATCTGAAGAAGGAAAGAACTGTCAGGGCAACAAAAATATTTTGTAAGGGCTTCAGACCCTACTGCCCCTTCCCACCCATCAGTGGGTGGCACCCCCCCAAGAGCTTGGTAGAATGTGGGGGAGCCGCCATTTCTGTGCAAGGAATTGATCGCTTCAGGAAGCGTCTTCCACCTCCACGCCCTGACGCTCTGCAGGGACATTTGCTTTGACTCTCTACGACTACACAGTGAGGACAGAGTGACAGAGGGTTGTGGGCCCCTGGCCTTGCTGCCCTCCGGGCATCACTGGCAGTAAAAGCTGCCCCAGCCCTTCCCCAGCAGGTCTTGCTGGCCAGTGGGCGAGCCCCAGGCTGCTCCTCCTGCCCCTGCTCCCAGGTGCTCAAGCTTCCCCCAGCATTTAGCTCCCCTGGGAGTCCTGACACAGCCCTGGTGACTCCTCCGGAGCCCCCAGCCGGAGGGCTGCCCAGAAAGGGTGGAGGAGCCAGGCTCTCCCCGTCTCCCTCCTCTTTTTCTTGCCACTCTTGGTCTCAGAGAACAAGGTGCCATGGCATGACATCAGCCCTCTTGCACAGGCCTCTTCCAGAGAAGTTGAAGCCTCCCACAGACCTTTTTCTCCTCCCATAGAAGAGATGAAACTTTGATGCAAGAAGGTGCTCTAAGGGAGCTGCCTTTATGAAAAAGAGAGCCCTCACTTTTTCTGCTGGGGAGCTGCAATTACTCCCTAGAAGAGGGAGAAGCTGCTGGATTTGGACCTGAGAAGGAACCTTGCTGCTCCAGACATTTTGTTAGCACTACTGCCCGTTTTTCTTATTATTCCTGTATTGAACCATATTTACGGTCCTGTGTCCTTTGAAAACTGCCTGAGGATATCACTGGTGTGAAAGGAAGAGAAAGTGAATACATTTTGGCATCTACGAGTGCCCACTGTTTCAATGCTGCTCGCTTTGCTGTGCCTGGACTTCCCCATCAACCTCCTCAGGAAGATGATGGGCTGTCATTCTCCTGGTGTGGGTGCTGCCCGCGTTTACCGGTGAAGGGGTGACCACCAAGAAGAAGATAGCCAAGGGAAGCACTGCTTCTGACCCAGGCCAGTCTCGCCCTTTTAGCAATGAGCTGGCACTTGTAATTACTCTGTAAAACCTGTTATTAGCGGCATCCAGGGGAGCAGTTGCTACTTAAAAAACCCGCATGCATCTGATGTCAACTTTCCTACCCTACAGCATGAGGGGCAAGCGCTCTGTGGATCAATGCAAAGATCCTTCATGCCAGTCCATAGCTACGAGTTCAGTCAGCTCTGACACGAGGCCATCTCCATCTCCCATGTTTCTTCTTTTAGCCACCAGACGTCCCCTCTGCGCACCTCCCACATGTATGTGGGGCAGGGTATTGCAGGGAAGCTGGTCATGCCTTGTGTGCCAGTGCTGCTTTAGCTGAAATAATCACAGGTAGGCACTTAAGGATTGCAGGGGCACGGTGCGGAGGCTTTTGTCCCCCAGCTGACATCCGTTGCTAGTGGTTTTCTTCATAATGCCATTTCTTATCGATCTTTCAGGATGTGGCTGATCTGTCCCGTTGACCTCAGTTTCTGGTCTCTTACTTTGACGAAGGGTATAACAAGTAACTCTTGTTCCCCAAGTACCTGCTGATTTTAGTTTATACCAAGAGATCTTTCTGTCTCACCTTGGTCTGAACCGTGCTCATGGCGAGGAGAGGACTTGGGTGAATTTTCCTGTGTTTATCTTCTGCAAAAATCCAAATGGATGGAAGGATTTCAGAGCTATCTGCACCCATGGCATTGGCTATCCAAGTATTGCTGAAGCTTACCTAATAGATTGAAAACTCACCTGTGTGCCATAAATTCTGTTTGGTCCAGCAAAGTCCCTTTTCCTTGATGATAAGTGCCTACAGTTGCTCTGGACAGATGGATCCTGATCCTGCAAAAAAGAGACGTTTCACATGTAAATACTACTGCTGCATTTCAAGACCACCGGTACAGAATGTCCCATCAGCCCTTCCAAGGATGTTGTACATTTTAATTCTTTTTATAGCAGGAAAATACTCCTATTTTGGAGATTTTAATCTTAATTTTCTGAGGTTATTAAAATCTTCCCAGAATTAGAGAAATTTCATCTCATGAAAATGGAAGGATAGGCTGAGATAAAGCCGTCCTTGGAGACAGATCTGAAAGGCGGTTCCTCTTCATGACCTTTCCTCTCATGCAGAGATTGGAGGAGGCAAAGCAGAATTTTTACGCTCCAATGTTGTATTTCCATGTCAAATACACCAGTCCGTAGTGCTAGGTTGCAGCATTTCTCACCTTTGCACTGACAGGGAGCCCAAGTCACCTCTGTCCATTCGAGAGAAACGATGGATTGGAAGTTGTGCATAGAGAGTAAAGGTCTTCACAGCAGGATATACATCTATCTTAGACTTTCATTTCAGATGTTTTTTCATAGTGCAAGATTAATTAGACAGAGACAAAAAGAAACATTAAAATGCCTACAGTTCACACGTATTACATGTTTTAAAATCCATTATTCTACATTCCGCGTTGAGGGATAAAAAGAAAATATTGTTGTCAATTATAAAATGCTAAAGATAGCTCTATACTTTTTAAATGAACAATGATAAAAGCCTTGAAAAATTCCCTTTGATGTGAATGGAGTCTTCAGCATTTTGAAATACAATAAGATGGATTAATTGCTACTCATTAGGCAGCAAGTTGGGACAGCTTTGAATGCGCATTCTCTTCTTGGCATTAGCTATTGCCTGGCTGAAATAGCCAGCTTTTGTATTTACTCCTGTCTTCTCTAATAATAAGCAAATTGGAGATCAGGGCTAGAAATACTGAAGTGCTCTCTATCTTTTGTCCGGAACAATTGTATATTTTCATGATTTGTTTATCTTTTTTGAGCTACAGCTAATTATTGCAAAGGTTATTTGAATCAATACGAGACCTGAGCAGAAATAACATCTGCAAAATTGCTTATTAGGAGTCTATTTTACGTTAGTGTTACTGTAATATCCATTTTGTGAGCAAATTGTTGTTTCTTCTCTTATGTCATTTTTTTTCCCTTACAAAAAAAGTTTTGTATTTTAAATATTGGTACAGGTTTTAGGGCTTCTTGAATTAATGCTGTGTTCTGTTGTGCTTACTTTTCCTCGTACTGTCTTAGATTTTTTTCCCAAAGTCATAGATAACATGGTATTCAAAGCCCCATTTATCATTCTAGGATAACAGTTTTTATTTTTTGCTGTAGAACTCATTTGAACTGATTGATTGAATTATTCTTCTGTTTATGTTGGATTAAAAGAAAGTCAAGCACAAATCCTTTTGTGCTTGTTATGTAGAACTCTTGTTTCATGTGGGGCTTTTATAGATATTGAGCTTTATAATTGGATGATACTGGGGAATTATTATTATCTAATTTAACTATGTATTTTGCATTCCAAAACTAATGGGTGACAAGTAAACCTCAAGGGCCTGATTCATTAAAAGTTATATAGTCTCCTTGCATTAGATTCTTAGCTCTTACATCTTCCAAAAACAAAGTGTTTGCAACTGCAGCCAGAAGCAGTCAGCTAAAACATGAGGCAGATCCTGATCTCCATTACAGTGATGACATTTTAGGGGTTTAGTGGAACTAGACCAGATTTCCACTGATTGTACTCTAAATCCACCTTGGTAACATTCATTACTAATTACGTACCACAGCACAGAAGACAGCAGTCTAAGAGTGCAGTCCATTACTTACTACAGTGCCATTCCTGGGCAGCAGCAATCCCATCAGAGCTCATAAATTAAGTAGGGTCAAGCCAGGTCAGAGCCAGATGGGACCTATCCGAGGACCACCTTAAGCTCCAGGAGGATTTAATGATTCAGGAGGAGATACTGTCCCCCCAGGCCTCTGCTGAACCTCGGCATTGGACTCTGCAGCATGCTAGGCCAAACTTTTATTTTACGTACGTCAGCGTAAACCTCATTGACCTGAGAGGATTTATTCCAGCTATACACAGCAGCACAAGTGAGAGCAAAACCAAACCCTTTCTGTCTTGGACAAGATAGGAAATCAAAGTCTTAACCATTTGCAGTCATTAAAAATCCCACAACGTTCCTGTTTAGAGTAGGGGTGTTAACCCATTTGTCCTGGCCAAATTCCAACCTGGGTAATTACTGTAATCTGCCTGTTTAAATTACCCCTGCCGTTTTAATTGGATATATTACTTCTCTTGCTGCCTAAACTGTGATGTAATACCATTGTGTGTTATTAATCAGTTACCAAGTTTCATCCCAGAAGCGGCCACATTGCAGTGATAGGTAGGGAGACTCATTCCCTCCTGGTTACCAGCGCTCTCCATTACCGTGTAACAAATCCCCAACATATACTCATTTTTCTAAGTGGCAGACAAGCTAATATTTCAATTTAAACAAACAGCTTTGAAATGTGTTTTTCCCATTTGTTGTCAAAGACTATGAAGTCTGCCTGATTATACAAGCATAGGCCACCCCCTTGCAGCTCTCCAAAACGTTCCTGGAGCTGAAGCTGCTTGTTTGCCAATGGAAGTCAGGACCTCTTATGTATTTGTATTTGACTTTGAATTTGATTTCTTTAATGTTTGAATGTGAAGTTACAGTTACTTTGAGAAAAACTGATCTTCCAACTATGCAGAGGTTCCTAAGCCTGCAAAAGGTGGAAAATCCCCCGATGTGTATTGGCCTGAATCAGTTGATGTCCAGTGGAGCTGGCAGATTTGTCACCACTGGGAAACTTTGTAGGAGTCATTGAAACTCCTCAAGACTAGCCCTATTGTAAGGGCTGTATTTCTGAGCTGTCATCCAATATACTTTTGCTTTCTCTCCATCCTCCTGAAAATGTAGTAAGTCAAAGAGGATGAGATGAATGGCCACCACAAAATGTAGAGTATTCTGGGCTGAAAAGCAGCAATTGGCAAGAAAGAGGCACATACCTTCTCATGTCATGAAACAAGAGATGTTTTCTCTCTCCAAAAATCCCTGTCACTGTTCCTAAAATTAAGGATCATCAGACTCACTGCTAATGGTTGCTAAGAGCTCCACAGGACAGTCTAAGTGTTCCTACTTCTGTGAACAGAAGGTCTTGAAGGAAGTGTAAATTTTCAAAATTTTTTCTTATTTTTTCTTATTTTCTCTTATGGTGGGATTTACCTGCCATAACTGTTGCTGTGTAGAAGCTGGGTGTCCTGGCTCGTATTTTAGTCCTTGGACAGTGATAACATTACAGAAAGTAATGCACTCCAGTTGGTTTTGATGCCCAGTAAAGGAAGAAATACATTGTAGGTGCTTACTGTGCTAACAGTAGCAGGAGATTAGCTGCCTGCCTTAGACTGGAGACTTCAGATAGCTAAAGCAAGGCAAGATGAACTATGTCATAGATATACAATTTACGCTGGGCTCATGCAACTCCCAGATATGGACTTTCATATCCCTAACAAAGCTTGTACTTTTAAATTCTCCTTTAGTTTAGATCCACCTAATAGTAAGGCCATTACAGCAGCAGAACAGTATGGGTTTGGGAACTTGGCCGGAGCACAGGCACTGGCTGCACCTTCGTGTGGTGGCACTGGCCAGGAGAGGAGGTAGAGCTGCAGCAGTTCTGGAGAGTAACAAGGTAGTCACAAAAGCAGCTTTTTGTGCACATATGTCTCTTGAATCATGCATTTCACACACAGGATATCAATCCCCTGTATGTTTAATTTTGTTATGATTCAGCTGACTGCAGGTGAGACTTGCATGGTTTGGCATTTCCAAGCCAGCTCACCTAACAAAAAAAGGGGGAAAAGGAACAGAAAAGTCTGGTGGGGCTAGCATCTCTATATTGCTTAAGGACATCTCCTCATTTTCATGTTTTCATGATGGAGGGTCCTTCTTACTGTGCAGGGGGGTAGAGGGGTCGGCTTTCTGGAGAGCTGCATGAGTCTCAGGATATTGCCACCTCTTAACACCCACCAAAGCATTTTTTAGCCCAGTGGTCTGCAGACATCCAAAGGCAGCCAGTAAAACATGCCGTGCGCACACCTCCTGTGCACATCCTCCTGCCCTGGGGCAGGGAGAGGTAAGTGCCAGTAGCTGGCACAGCCAGAGCTGACTTCCAGCTCTTACCCAGTGAATTGATCGTGGTTATGTGGGAAAGCTACAAGTTGGAGAAATGACCACGTTTTCTTCACACGCTGGTGGATAGCGTGTCCCCCTGCCTCCAGAAGCTGCACTGTCAGCTGCAGCAAGGCAGTCCTGAGGCTTGGACAGGTCACAAAGCAGCGTCCGGCGCCGCTGTGCGGAAGGCAGTGCAGGTGAGTCCGCAGGTGTTGGTGCTGCTGCAGGCAGCACCGCAGCGGATTGCACTTCAGGCTCACATCCTGCAAGGTGCAGAGGGGGGACGCTGCTGGAGCAGCTACTCCCCTGCTCCACCTGCCGCTCTCCCGGGCTGCATCCCACAGAGGCACCCGCAGGGGCTCCTTGCACAGCTCAGGGAAACAAGCTCAGCAACAATCCCCTTCTTCAGTATCTGCAGCTTTCACGCAGGGATGGCAGGGGTTATGTGTTCTGTTGTTAGGGTTTTTTATCCTTTTTTTTTCCATTTTAATGAATCAGTCCCTAGGTGAAAATAATGCATTTGTTTAAACCTGATATTTAATGTTGAGCAAACTGCTCTTCCTTTGTCTCTTACTATTTTGTTCATATTTTGCTAAGAATCTGCTATTCTACACAAGCATTTTAATAAACTGTTTGTTGTTGTATCCAGGTAACAAGCATGGTAAGTATTTTAACTAAACCAAGTATTATGTACCTTAGCTGTGCTTGGCAGAATTTTTGGCTAGCTTTTCCTGTACTTTCAGCCTGTGCTGTTTCTAAAGGAGCTATTCAAAGGAAGAAACTGCTCACCTATAGTACTACTACATACAAGCTTTAGAAGGAGCATATGTGCAAAGTCATATATCGTATATAAGAGCATGCATTTCTTGCCAGCATGCTTGCTACTTTGCTTGTAAAATAAAAACAGAAAAAAAAAACCAAAATCCTTGCTTAATACTGCTTGTGTTCCTTCATTCTAAGTCACGTACCTAAATATTAGCACTTATTAATACAGTACTTCTGGATGAGGAACCCCACTTTACCAGATAGTAGCAGTCTGTTGTTTACTTATTTTACCTGACCTAAGATACCCACTTAGTTAACTCTGTTGCATTAAGAGGCTTTCCTTTTCTATTCTGTGATCATAAGTGATTGGCAGTGACTAGGACTCCAAGCACTGCTGTAATATAAGTAATCGATAACAACACATCTTTTCCTAAACTTGTTCCTGTATGCTTGAAAAGAGCAGAAACTTTATGGCTGATTGTTTTCTTTGGGAACACTGTAAATCAGTAAAATACCACAATTGGAAGTTTAAAATGTTATTAACATTTTTGTTATCTTTTAAAATACTTGGCATAAAACAGAACCCAAAATGTTTCTAAACCTGTAAGCATGAAGAAAAATCTGTCATTGTTTGCGAGTCAGTCACAGTTCTGTGTTCTCATTTTACGGTGTAATACGAAAGGCAAACTTCTCTTAGATCTAAATGATAGAGCTCAAATCTCAGTGCTTCCTGTCCTGCAGGCAGAGCCTTAGCAGCAGACCTTGTTTAGCTCAGCCTGATTTAAAATCAGCAGAATTTGCCCAGATAAACAAGTGGGCAGTAGTTTGCTCTCCCAGAGCTTCCTGCGTGTTGGCAGAGCAGACTGTGAGAATTCAGGTCTACCATGCATGTTTGAGAGGAGGTTTTGCCTTGAGGTAGTCTGAGTGTTAGCCTCCGTGCTGTATTTTTTTTTTCCTGCATGGTTTGCTATTTTTGCATTTTCTGTGTGGCTTTTTAAGTTTTTAGTTATGTGCTTGTAGCTGCAGTTATTTAACATCATTTGTTGTGCCCAATGTTTTAAGACTCCATGTAATTGTCATATTAAAGGATCAGACAGCGAAGGACAAAGCACTCCAGCATATGGCAGCAATGTCATCAGCTCAGATAGTCTCAGCTACTGCTATTCACAACAAGCTGGGCCTGCCAGGAATTCCCCGTCCTACATTTCCTGGGGCACCTGGGGTAAGTTGTTAGCCGAGTCCCAAAAAAATCCCTGTATTCTCTAACAATGTTCAGTAGAAAACTAAGGCTGAATGAATGGATTAATGCTTTCACTTGTGTTTGCAAAAGGAATCATGCTTGTTCAGAAATATCCAAAATCTTTCAACAAAGAAAACAATTGTGGGTCTGTGTGTTTGTTTTTCCTCTTTCAGTTTTGGCCGGGCATGATTCAAACGGGGCAGCCTGGATCTTCGCAAGAGTAAGTCTGAAATTAAAATTAAATTGCATATAGAAACAAATTAAAATATGCTTCTATATGCAGCATGGTGCTGGCTTGTATACTTTGCTGCCAGAGGATATCAATGAGGCAAGAACTTGCAAATTTTTCTAAAAAGGAGGAAAAGATTTAGTAAGAGTCCTTAAAGTAATGAGAACTCACAATCAAAAAGTTACAAGGGATCCCAGACCTCAAAGCTGAAGCTGAGTACCTAATGGGCACACTCCTTTTCTCTCCCATTGCAAGGTGAGATGCAATGATAATGCCAGGGAAGCAGCTGGTAAGGCTTTGCTTGTGAATAAGTTTCCAGCACAAATACTTCCATCCTGTTTTAAATATATGAGCAATACTAGAGCCAAGGGGGATGTATTTTCCTGCAGGGCAGGAGATGACTGCATGAGGCCCATTAGTGGTCAGTGGGGTTATGGCCCTTTGGCACCATGGTAGCAACCGCCGCAAGGAGAAGGAAGCCTTTGCCCCTCTGTCAGGTGTTACATTTTCAGCCCTGCGGTGGTCTCTGGAGCAATGTTTCCCAGCCTTACTTTTCAGCTTCTCCCCACCTTATTCCCTTGAGGTCCATGGGAATCTTTGTGCCCTGGCAGTTCAGTGTCCTCTGGATTTATTTGGAGTCAAAGCAATCACCATCCATGTCTGCTGCGACACTTGCGACGAGCGGGTCAGGTTTCCTGCTGGGTGACTGAGTGCAGCTGAGCTCCTTGCTTTAAGATGTTGGGTGTAATTCTCCTCCTCCTCTCTCTCTATTACCTCTTTACTGTCTGTCTGTTAAATATGCTATGCAAGGAAGAGGTACGTTTGTGCGTAAAGGTCATTAACCATGTATTTTCTTATACTATGTGACTCTAACGGAATTTACTGTGGATGGCACGGTGTATGATTTTTATGTAACTCTTTATTCCAGTGTA